CCTCCTCCTCCTCCTCCTCCTCCTCCTCCTCCTCCTCTCCCTCCTCTCCCTCCTTCCCCTCCTCCTCCCCGTCCGCGGTCCTGGATGAGGCCTTTCACCTCGGTCGGACGGCCGCGGGCCGGCAACCGCAGCGGGATCCGCGCGCGCGCGAGGGTGCGCGACCGACTGGCGGCAGCTGCGGGGAGGGCCTGCGGCCAGGAACGCCCAGAATCGGAGGCCTGGAAATTGGCACCAACACCAGCACAGGGGGGTGCCTCCACATGGGAATTCTGATCCTAGATTTCGGTGTTGGTGGTAATACTTCGGTCACCTTGGAAGCCAGAATATTGCCACCATCACCGAGATCGGGATCGTCTTCCCTCGGTGGAGGCACACCACCGATCTTGGTGTTGGTGTCAACCTCTAGGCCGGCGACAGAAGACGACTCAAACCCTGACACGGCCAAGAACTGCCTCGCACGATCGATCCTCGATCGATCCTCGACCGATCCCCGACGATGTGGGACGGCAGGTGAGAAATGCCCTTCGGGGAAACGTGATACTCGGGTACGGGGGACTCGGGTGGGCCTGACAGGGCCATCGTAAAAGTGACGAGACCGTCTGAAATTTGAGGCGAGCTCCCGCTGCAAACATCCCACGAAAACTGGACCGTCAAAATCCTGGACGCGCTCGTCGAAAAACGTCGGCAAAGCCGAGTTCTGGCTTACTCGAGTCTTACGTTGCCCCGAGCCCTCTGGGCATGAAGCAACGCCACTGGCGATGGGGCGTCGTCGGCGCTTTTGAAACTTGTTGGACCGCCGTCTCCACGGAAAATCCCAGCGGCAGAAACCCGCGGTGTTTTTGCGAGAGCGTTTATAATTACTTGCGATAGCGGCCGCTACCGTCCCCGGCCGCCCCCCTCCCCCCGCCCCCGAGCTGGTCTGGACTCCCAAACGGCACCGGCCCGAAACGTGACGTTACTGCCCCCCGCCACCCTCCCCTCCCCTCCTGGTAGCGCCCGCTACCGCGCGGGGGCAGCAAAAGCGCTATTTCCTTCATGGCCATGCATTACGTACTCTCGACCGACTGACCCTCGAACGACCGATCCTCAATGGATTATACGCGAACGACTGATCCTCGAACGACCGACTGATCCTCGAACGACTGATTCTCTTCATGACCATGCGTTATACCCGAACCTCGATTGGTCGATCCTCGATGCATCTTCGGTTGATCCTCGGCCGACGGATCCTCGAACGACCGATCCTCGATGGTTCTTCTTATTCGATGCCCGCTGTGCGAGCCTCGGCCGATCCTCGATCGGCCCCTGACCGCTCGATGATCGACCCTCGTTCGATCCTCCGCGGTCCTCGGTCCATCCTGGATCGACCTTCGACCGACTGAGGGGGGACGACAAGGTTAGATCGGGCCTGTCCCCCTAGTGGGATTTTGGGCGAAACATTAAAAATACATGAAAAATGCCACCCCAAATGGGCAAACATAGTAAAAAAATAGTCCCCCGACTATTATTTACTATTTTGGAATATTCCCCCTGTAGAGGGACAGGCCCGACTTAACGATAAGGGGAACCCGCTCAGGCGGGGAAACCTTGCATGAGGTTCCACGTCATGTGTGCGTGCGCACAGTGACCACGACCCTTTCCTAGACGACCAGGGACACCACGGCGCAGGACACACGAGACGCAAAGCAGGCAACATGGATGCCGAGATCGACCTGGGAGCGGCAACTGGTGGGGCAGGCCGAGCTGGAATCGGCGATACGTTGCCGATGGATCGGCGGTGGGCCCCCGAGGAGGAGGAGGTGGAGGAGGAGGAGAACGGGGAGGAGGAGGAGGAGGAGGAGGAGGAGGAGGAGGAGGAGGAGGAGGAGAGAGGGGCAGGAGGAGGAGGGGGGAAAAGAAGGAGGAGGCGGAGATGGAGGAGGAGGAGGAGGAGAGGGAAGGAGGAGGAGGAGAGGAGGAGGAGGAGGAGGAGGCAGGAGGAGGAGATGGAGGAGGAGGAGGAGGAGGAGGAGGAGGAGGAAGGAGGAGGAGAGGAGGAGGGAAGGAGGAGGGGAGGAGGTAGGAGGAGGGAGGAGGAGGAGAGGAGGAGGAGGATGAGGAGGAGGAGGAGGAGGAGGGAGGAGGAAGGAGGAGGAGGAGGAGGAGGAGGGGGGAGAGGAGGAGGAGGAGGAGGAGGAGGAGGAGGAGGAGGAGGAGGAGGAGGAGAGGAGGAGGAGGAGGAGGAGGAGGAGGAGGAGGAGGAGGAGGAGGAGGAGGAGGAGGAGGGGAGGAGGAGGAGGGGGAGGGGAGGAGGAGGAGGAGGAGGAGGAGGAGAGGAGGAGGAGGAGAGGCGAGGAGGAGGAGGAGGAGGAGGAGGATGGAGGAGGGGGAGGAGGGGGAGGAGGAGGAGGAGGGAGAGTGGAAGGAGGAGGAGGAGGAGGAGGAGGAGGAGGAGGAGGAGGAGGAGAGGAGGAGGAGGAGGAGGGGGAGGCCCCCGGGGTCCGAGACGGCGCGGCGCGCGCGCGCCTTCACGAACGGGTCCTCGCCGGCGGCGCCGCCCAGGCGCACCACGGCCTCCGGGCGCAAAGGGGCGCCACGTTGTGTTTGTAGAGCCGGGCGGCTTCGTCACGGGTCGGGCCCCAGGACCCTGGCAGATCAATCCGGCTCGGAGAAGGTCGCAGAAATACTGGGTCTGCGGCTCGGCCGATTTTCGTGAGGCCCCCTCGAGTCGTGAAAAAAACAAAAAATGTTCGATAATGATTGCCTCTGGTGGCCCTCATCGGGCCTCGTGACCGTCAAACATCTCATGATGAGAACCTGTCCCAGGAAATAAGTCGAGTCCTCTGGGGGTCGACGTCATGAATAAAAACATGGCGTCGGGGTTCTGGGTCTCACGAGCGGCGACCGTTTTGCGCGGCAAGAAATTCCCCGTAGGAGTCTCGAGAGGATCGTGCTGCACTTATTCTGTAGCACTTGAGCAGGGACCGACCGTTCCGGCAATCCTATACATAGTCCTACCACGAAACGTTCTTAGAACCCACAGTGTTCTAAGAACCAAGCCCGATGTGATAAAATAAGACACTCTCCGCCAGGCATGTTCTAAGAACAGTTCGTGGAAACCACAAAAGGGTCTCAGAACACTGTTTGGTAGCTCTGTAGGCGAGCCAGGACGCTTCGCCACTGCTTGGAGCACGTCCTCTGCGGCGGCCCACGGCTGTGACCGCATGGCCGGCCGCCGGGGCGTGGGCCGAGCCAGCTCGCCTGGCTGGGCCGACTCGCCCGCTGTCGCGGACCTCCCACGCTGCCACCAACTCCGGGCTCTGCGCCGGCAAACCCGGCATGGCATGGGTGCGGCAAGCCTGGCGGCGGCGGACGCATCCGCATCCGCGCCCTCGCGGCCTCGAGATCCGGGGCGCGATCCTGGCCGCACGGCTACGCTCCGCGAAGGAGCACCCTTGAACAAAACGCTCCCTACACTCCGCGGACCCAGCCGCGACCCCCACAGCGACCCACCCAGCGACCCCAGGCGCTCCCTGGCGCTCCCAGGCGCTCCCAGGCGCTCGCAAGAGCTCGGAATCGCGCGGCAGCGCCACTGGATAGAATGGGAGCGCCTGGGAGCGCCGGGGCAGCGCCAGGGAGCGCCTGGGAGCGCCTGGGAACGCCTGGGAGCGCCTGGGAGCGCCCAGTGGCAAAGGGACGAAGAACCACCCTGAGAATCAGTACCCTGGCAGGCGACGCTGCTTGGCAACCGCACCCGAGGAAGAAACCGACCGGGGCAGGGCCGCCGAGCAGGCGCCCGGGACTGCTCGGCAAGCGCCGGCTAACCACGGGGGTCGGGTTGGCTTTTCACATCTCTCGACTCGGGGGGGGGGGGAGGAGGAGGAGGAGGAGGAGGAGGAGGAGGAGGAGGAGGAGGAGGAGGAGGAGGAGGAGGAGGAGGAGGAGGAGGAGGAGGGCGGCGTTCGGCACAGCCGCGCTGGGCCCCGTCGGGCACCCCTGGGCCGCCCGGACGCACGCAGGGCCACGATGTCGGCCACGCAAATTACCCTCCTTCTCTTGTGAGTATCGTTTGAACCGATCCCCCATCCCCAGCGGCGTGACCTGGGCCCCCCTGGCCGATGTACCCCCCTGGATGGGGAGATAGGCAGTTCCCTTCGGCCTTCGAGAGGTGCATCCCCAACTGGGGTGGTGATTCGGTGGGGGTCTCGAGGGGGATGGGGATTGGGATGGGCATCGTTCAAACGACACTGATCTTGGGGGCAGGATCAATCAACATCAAATCAGAACTCGGATCGGGTCGGAAGGTGCGTCGGATCGGTTCGCATCGGCACGGAGTGGGAATCGAAGCGGATCGGCCCCCACCAGGATGCACAGCAGCGCCGTGCAAGCAGCGGGTCGCATCGGACCCTCCTTGAGCCCACGTTCCTAGCATTCGCGAGAAAGCCCGTGACCAGCCCCGCTCCCCCCCTCCCCTTCTCCCCTGGTCACGTCACGATTTGCGCCGGCGCCGTTTGAGAATTATAGCAACGCTTAGGCCTTCTCAAACGGCGCCGGCGCGAATCATGACGTTACACGAGCTGGGGAAATCAAAAAGCTACCGATACCGCTACTCCCCAGACCTCTCCCGGGGTGCGTTCTGACCAGAACTTCGAGGTGAATACAGCGGTGGCGACGAGGGCCTCCCAGGAGGCCCGAAATCGAGGCAATGGTAACGGCATCGGTACAAGCCTTTTCCTCTTGAGGTTCTAACCTCGGTCACGGCTGGCATCGCCCGGGGATGAAATACGGTTTCCTCATCTGGAGGGGTCCGGAGGTACAGTCAAAACTGATAGTAAGGATGCGCCATAAGAATGCAAGCCCCATCGAAAGGGGCGAAGGATGGACCAATGTTGCACGGATGCAAGGGTACCCTTGGCAGAGAAACTAAAACAAGCGTAAACATGACATGTTGTAGGTCTGCGCAAATGAGGGCGAGAAGGCAGGAGGAGAAGGAGAGCGGGGGAGGGGGAGGAGGGCGAGCAGGACGAGGAGCAAGGGGGGGAGGACGAGGAGGAACAAAGGGGGGGGAGGGGAAGACGAGGGATGCTGGAAGGGAGGCAGGATGGGAGGGAGGGAGACCCGCTGCGAAGACGAGCATGGGCGGCCTGGATGCGCGACGCCAGCTGCGCGAGCGCGGAGGAGTGGTACTGCTTGGCCAACTGCTGCACCGCGCTGATGACCTCCGCTTTCCTCGGCCGGCGCACACGGGGCGGGCGAGGCAGCGCCTTGCTGTGTCCGACCGTGGACCCCCCTGCTTACCCCTCGCTCCCTTGGCCGCTTTCGGCGGTCTTCGGGCGGTCTTCGGCGGTCGTCTGACTTGAAGGTCGCTGGGGGGGGGGCAGCGTTGTTTCCAGGGCCAGATCCCCGTACGCTCGGCGGGCGCGCTTGATCGGTCAACAGCAATCCTTACAGCCGCCCTTCGCGAGAAGCTCTGATCTCAGGTTTGCTCTTGCCGACGATTGGGCTGCTCATGCTTGTTCTTGCCCTGCAAAGCATTGCCCTCTCCCCCGTCGCCCCAGCAACACAGATCGCGTGCGCTGCCCCTCGGCGAGCTGCAACTTCTGACGGTCTTGGGCGGTTTCCAGCGGTCTCCCGCGCGAAAGCAGGATGGCTGCGTTCAACGAGGAGGTCCACGATCGAACTCCGAAAACACACAAGCCCACACGGACGGAGACGCCACGGGGGCACCTTCGGGACCCTGCGGAAGCGGAGCCCGAGTCCGAACCGGGCCCCCGCGCGGAGCTCTGTCTGCTCTGCGCCGCGGCCGCTGCGTGGGCGGTTGCTGCCAGCCGTGCCTGAACTTTGCGGGGTCCCTGAGCCCCCTGCGCTGCTCGCGGAGGGACGAGGAGGAGGAGGAGGAAGAGGAGGAGGAAGAGGAGGAGGAAGAGGAGGAGGAGAGGACCAGTGCAAACCCAAGAAGCACCAGCGATGTTGGAATAAGCCCCCAACAACGGCTCGTTTCCACAGAGGGACCTGCCTCGTTGGAAGACAACCATTTGAAGACCCCGAAGACATCCTAAACATGTTCGAAATACCAACGCCACGGATAAACTTGACAGTTGCATATTGACGATTCTGAATGGTGCCAGAACAACATTCCTGTGTCTTCAACGCCGCGAATCATCGTAACGTTTGCGCCCTCGTAGTCGTGAACCCGTCCGCAACACCATGTCTGGTACGTCGATCATGGGAACCAGTGAAACTCTTACAAATTTTACCAAGAGTGCACGCGGCGCTACGGCGAGAACCACATTTTGAAAACCACCCGCCCTCAATCCACAAAGTTTTTCTTAGCATATAAAAACACACGCGAAGTTGGGTGGCGCCAAAGCGAGAACCACATGTTTGAAAACCACCCGCCCTCAATTCGCGCAGCTCCTTGCACATGCTTAAAACGAAGTTGCGCGGCGCCGAAGCGAGAACTACATATTCAAAACCACCCGCCCTCAATCCGTGAAACTTTTGATGCACATGTTTGAACAAATGTGCGCGGCGCTAAAACGAGAGCCACGCGTCGAAGACGGCCCGCATTCAATCCGCGAAACTCTTGCAACTTTTTTGTAAAGACGAATGTGCGCGGCGCCAAGGCCAAAACAACATTTTGAAAACCACGCGCCCACAATCCGTGAAGCTCTTGTTGCAGTATGTAAAACAAATGTGCGCGGCGCTTAGGCGAAAACCACATTTTGACCACGACCAGCTTCCATATGTGAAACTGTTGTCACGTTGAAAACTGCGCTTCAGAATCATGGACGGTGAGGAAGTCTCAGGCGAAACGCCCGGCCCGCGCTACAAACTTACCTCGGGGTGCGACACGGAACTATTACTTATAAGGAAAAGGAATTGAGGAGGAAGAGGAGGAGGTGGAGGAGGACGACGACCAAGACCAAGACCAAGAAACGCCGGGGCACTGCATGTCAGACGGAGAAAGGAAGAAACAAACAAAAAAACAAAAAAACAAAAACAAAAAAGACAACAAACAACACAAAACAACAACAAAACAAAAAACAAACTGGACGCCTCGATCGAGGTTCAACTAGCTCTTCCAAGCGGCGCCCGCGCGAATCGTGGCGTCACCGGCCCCTCCTCCGCCCCTCCTCACCCCCGGTCGCGCCCGCGATCGCCAGCGGATTGTGGAAGAGAATGTCTTCAGGAGGCCCTCCCCCCCACTGAGTTGAAGGGGAACTGGGACACACAAATAAACACACACAAATAAAGATATCCCCCATATTTTCCCATATTCCCCCCACTTCCAATATTTTCCCATATTTTCTGGGTTTTTGTTTCCCCCCCCCCACTTCCCATATTTTCCCATATTTTCTGGGAATCGCCGATTAATTGTGTCTGTGTGTTTTCTCCCCTCCTGATGAATGGGGATGGGCGTCGTCTCATCCGGAGCTCGCAGAACCCATCCCCGCCTAAAAAACTGGGTAGTCGAAGCCAATCTGGCGCCAATCGGGCAGGCCCAATCTGGCAAACGGGGGGCAATCTGGCGAGGGAGCCAGCGCGAATCCAGTCTGGCGAATAACCCGAATCCTCCAATCTGGCCAGGCCAGATTGGCCCTTGGGGCCCAATCCAGTCTGCCAGTCTGGCCTTCGACTACCCAGAAAGAGGTGCGCCGGGAGAGCCACCTTACCCTGTCCCGGCAGGGGGCGGCACGAGTCTGTCGATGATGAGCGGCAGTCGGCGGCAGCAGGTGAGAGCGGACGTCGCACTGGCTGGTGGAAGCGTAGCCGCCGGAAATCTGGGGACGCTGCGCGAGCCTCACTGCTGGCCCGTCGCCGCCGAGGCGGGGCCGCCCCCTTCTCTCCTCAGGTCTGCGGAGGTGCGCAGCTGCGAGCGGCCAGCGGACACCTGCACGAGGCTGTAGGACTGCGCCACCGCGCCGGAGCTCGTCTCCTCCGCGCTTGGCGCACAGGGCCGCCGACGTCGCCGACGTCGCCGGCGCCAGGAACCCATGTTCGCATTATTACTCGCGACAGCGCCTGGAACTTCCCAGGGATCCTGGCTCCTCGATTGTTTCGAACTTGGCGTTTTCGCCAGCTTTTGGGCCACGGACCCTCGCAGATCGATCCAGCTCGACAAGCGGTGCAACAGAGATGGGGTCCCAGGCTCCGATTCTGATGTTGTACAATGCCCCAAAAGCGCCCATGGCCTGCTCCACCCCCCCCGCCCTGGTCACGCCATGGTTCGCGCCAGCGCCGTCTGGGGATGAGCCGTATCCTGGGCAGTGCCAGACGGTGACGGCGCGAATCCTGACGTGACTGCCCCCCTGGGTCGGCATAGGCGTAAGAGTGACCCTGGGTAAGAGTGACCTTGGGGGCGCAGCTTTTGGGGGCGCGAGGGAGCCAAACCCAAGGGCGCGGGCCGCTTATATCGCATCGCGCTCGGCGATCGGGGGGAGCCCGATGAGCCCGCACCAAAGGTCACTCCGGCGAAAGGCCACTCTGACGTGTAGTCGACTGGGGTCACGCCCGTTGACGCCAAGGGGTGAAAGGAGCTGCCCCCCTCGACGGCGCCAAGGCCAGCGCCCGCGCCCCCGGTCTCCGACGGCACGGCTCTGCTCCAGCCCGGCTGGCTCTTCCGGAAGCTCGGCCTCGGGGGCCCCGTGCTCGGCGCCCCGGGCCCTCAAAACGGATCGGGGACGGAACGTGACCCCCGCTGGAGGCTTGGAAACTGACACCAGCACCAACACGGGGCGCTGCCTCCACCAGGGGAAGGTGGTCCTAGACTTCGGTGCTGGTGGCAATCCTTCGGCCGCCTAAGGAGCCAGAATATCAGAGTGGGATGCTCTTGAGTATCGTTCAACCGATCCCCATCCCCAGCGGCGCGGCCTGGGCCCCACTGGCCGGTTTACCCCCCAGATGGGGATACAGGCCGTCCTCTTCGGGTTTCGAGGGGTGTATCCCCACCTGGGGTGGTCACTTGGTGGGGGCCTCGAAGGGAATGGGGATGGGGATGGGGATTGGTTGAACGATTTCGAACTCTTCCCTCGGTGGAGGCACAACGCCGATATCGGTGTTGGTGAGGAGGAGGAGGAGGAGGAGGAGGAGGAGGAGGAGGAGGAGGAGGAGAGATGAAGGAGGAGGAGGAGGAGGGGGGAGGAGGGGGAGGAGGAGGAGGAGGAGGAGGGGGGAAGGAGGGGGAGGAGGAGGAGAGATGAAGAAGGGGGAGGAGGATGAAGGGGAGGAGATGGGGGGAGGAGGAGGGAGAGGAGGAGGAGGAGGAGGAGGAGGAGGAGGAGGAGATTGCATTGGATTGTACGATGCGCTGCGCGCGGCTCCAATATCCTCACCTGGCCGCAGTCGCCTCCTGGGCCAGCTTGGCCCTTCTCGAGTGATCCGAGGTACTGCAGGCACGTGTGTGTCAGGGGGCCCTGGCGCTCAGACAACGCGCCCCTCCCCTCTCGGTGCGGAAGTGATCGGTGTCTAAGCCCCTCTAGGTGGCCACATGTGAACCCTGCCCCCACCCCCCACGATTCCTAACGGGGTCTGAGGGTTCACGCAGCAGACTTCGTCATCCACACTCACTCGAGTAATACGCAAAGGCATACAGTAGGGGCTCCACCACAAAAAACCTTCCACAAGAAACCCAACCCTGAGATCCCAGGACGTCTACTGATTTTGGTGTGGGAACGCCACGCTTCCCATGGCAAAACCATCGAGACACAAGAAACCCAGGGCACCCTGGAGGCGAGCAAAAAACATAAAAATAGCCAAACATACTCAAAACATCGTCCCCAGACTATTTTTAGACTGTTTTTGAACATCCCTCCTGTAGAAGGACAGGCCCGACTTACTGCTAACACAAAGAGGCATGAAAACATGTTGTCGCGGAGGTTCGCGCGCGCTTCTTGGCTCGGCGCTGAGCCCCATCCATCTCACTGGCGCGCGGAAAGCGCGCCAGGGGCGGCGCCGGAGGCGCCGATCTAGGGAGCCCAGCGCCGATCCCCGGCGGTGGACAAACCTCCCTTTAGTAAACCTCCCCTCAGTGAAAACGGCCTGGGACCGCAACCGACGGACCTGGGCCCGCAAAACGACGGCCGCGACGCCCTCTAGCGAACCGAGAACGGCCAATTCCTGAATCGACGTGTCAGGGTAGGAGGTCGAGCAACCTCCGAGATCCAAGAAATCCGCGCGGACCTCAGAGAACTCTGGCTTGTCCAGGTTTTGTTCTTGGGCTTCCCCTGCCGGGTGACGACATCCGAGCCCAGCCATCGACTCTCCTGCATCGATGGGAGGCGGGGGCAGGGTTTGGACTCCGCCGCGTGCTCGACGAATTCCGGGCCCTACAATCAACCCGCATAATGAGGATGCGCGGTACGGGTGCAAGGGCCTTGGACGCCCATGCCGAGGCTCTCCGAGCGGGGCTGGCCATCGGAAGTGGTCGAGGCCAGGCCGAAGATGACCGAAGAGGCAAGGATGCAAGGGTACCCTTGGGAAGTCGATCATCCTTTCGGCGGCGAGCCAGGGGGGGAAATGAGAAGGAGCGGGCCTTCTCAGAAGGCTCGGAAGTCCCCGGGCCTCCTGAGAAGGATTCGAAGCCTTCCCCCGAAGACGCCGAAAACCTCCAAGCAGGCGCGAGGGCTTCTGAGAAGCCCCGCCGCCTTCTGAGAAGACCTCCTCCTTCTCCATTCCCCCCTCGCTCGCCGCCGATCCTTACTATGTTCGGGGAGGCGTAAGACTCGGGTACGGGGGACTCGGGTTGGCCCGACGTAGCCATCATAAAAATGACGAGGCCCAATCGAAATTTGACGCGAGCTCCCGCTGCAGACATCCAACGAAAACTGGACCGTCAAAATCCAAGACGCGCTCGTCAAAAAACGTCGGCAAACCCGAGTTCCGGCTTACTCGGGTCTTGCGTTGCCCCGATATGTGGGTTGGCTGTACCCCCGCCGCCCATGGAGTTGCCCGAGGCGTTGATTCGCCGCCGGGGGGCCTCGCAGCAGTGCGGCGGGCGGCGGCGGCGGGGGGCGGCGTGGGCGTCGTGGTCGTCGTGGTCGTCGTGGTCGTCGTGGTCGTCGTGGTCGTCGTGGTCGTCGTCGTCGTCGTCGTGGTCGTCGTGGTCGTCGTGGTCGTCGTGGTCGTGGTCGTCGTCGTCGTCGTCGTCGTCGTAGTGCTCGTGCTCATGCTCGTGCTCGTGCTCTCTGGGTAGTCGAAGCCAATGTGGCGCCAATCTGGCAGGCCCAATCTGGCAAACGGGGGCAATCTGGCGAGGGAGCCAACGCGAATCCAGTCTGGCGAATAACCCAAATCCTCCAATATGGCCAGGCCAGATTGGCCCTTGGGGTCCAATCCAGTCTGACAGTCTGGCCTTCGACTACACAGGCTCTTGCTCGTCGTCCTCGTGTACGCTTCGCTTGCCAGGCGAACAAGCGGGCGGGGCGCACTCGGGCCGCCCGCGCTCGCCACACGCCTCGGCTCCGCCACGGGGCCTCGCTCCACGAGTACGGCAGCGCCACTGTTAAGTCGGGCGCGTCCCCCCTACAGCGGGATTTTGGACGAAATCAGAAAAGACTCGATAAACAAATCTTCAAAACAATACACAAAAACACTCAACCATAGCTTAAACCAAGAATGGTCCCCTGACTATTTCTTGACTATCTTTGGAGATTCCCCCTGTAGAAGGACACGCCCGACTTAACGCCACTGGCCACTGACACGACCACCTTTCGCAGAGGCGCAAATCTTTACACAACCATGCACTTTCGGCGCCCCGTGTGGACGCTGGGTCCCCCTGGCGGTGCCTCTGGCGCCGCCCCTGGCGCGCTCCGTCACCGAGGGCAACCCTTTGGAACCACCACGGCCCCCCAAATAGCCGCCGAATTCCGAAGGAGTTGCGCGACAAATTTTTCTTGTTTGAAAGCATGCAGTGCTGGGCGCGTAGGCCAGCCTGTAATGCCCCTTGACGAGCATCCATGTTGAACCAAACATTACCGCGGCCGTCGCCATCATCACCGCCAAAACCACAAGATAACAAATGTTACAATCATCGTCGGACTGAGGTCAGGTCCGTCTGCGTCGCCGCACATCGACTTTCTACCGAAGCTGAGCGCCGCGAGCTCCCAGCAGCATTCGCCGACAGCTGTCAAAAGCAAAACGGCCGAAATGGTCCTTCAAAGGGCCGCCAGGAGGGCCGCCGAAAAGGGCCGCCGAAATCGTCGCCGAAATCGCCGCCGAATTTGCCGCCGAAATTTCCGCCGAAATCGCCGCTGAAATTGCCGCCGAAATTGCCGCCGAACTTGCCGCCGAAGTTGCCGCCGAAATTGCCGCCGAAATTGCCGCCGAAATAAGTGCGAACTCCACTCAAATAGCCGCCGGAATTCAGCCGCCGAAATCGCCGCCGAAATTCAGCCGCCGAAATTTTCATTGCCCCGTCGCAAGCGAAATCGCTGTTCCAGTCAGCGCGATGACGCCGCAGACACAGGCATAGAGTCACAGCCAAGGTCAAATTCGGTCTTTTCTCGGCGGAACCGGCGGCA